ACTGCCAAAGTCACATGATTTCAGTAAATGAGGTTTCATTACATCATAAATGTTTAGAAATTTCAATGGTTCGCCACTATGGGGAAATCTGTGTAAACCCATGAACCAGCGTCTACTTTTTTCCTGATCTCGGATTACTTAAAGGGGTCATATGATGCGATTTCAATTTTTCCACAACGCATTGGATAGCTGGCCAATCAGAGCACACCTCGCTTTTCAGACCGATTAGTTTTGTAAAAATCGACGCGTTTCAAAAAGGCGGGGCATAGAGGAGAAACAATAATGTACAGTATGTGGAAAATAATGTGTTTTTTTTTACTTTAAACCGCATAAACACATTTCATTACACCAAATACACCAAATAATGTTCTTTTTAGCAGCATCATATGACCCCTTTAAGACATTTTAAATCACACATTTGTTTAATTAAAAGGAAGAGTTGGAGTTATTAATCTCTTGTTGGCCTGATTACCCAAGTTCTCCATAAAACAAACAAAACACGCCCTACAATTTAATAAAATAACACACATATTATACAGACACTTCATATTTTAACAGTATTAGATGGTTTGTTAATTGAACAGATTACACTTTCAATAAAATATTTGTAAAATAAGTTTTTATGCATGTTTGAGCTGAGTTTTCATTGCATTTACACCGTTTTGAACAGCAGGTCACCACTGTGCGGCATTTCGAAAAAGTGAATCATTGTGCAAAGCAATTGGTTCAACTGAGTCTAAGTTTCGAAAAGCTTTGTTTCTTCCATCACTACTCTAAAGTCAACATGAAACGACTTTTGCAACTCAAAATGCGACATATTTTTGTGAAACAGCTTATGCATTTTATATGACTTATGACCACTGATGTTATTTAGAGCAAATCATACACCTCATCCAAAGACACAAAATAACCCCCCCCAAAAAAACATGCTGATAAAAGTTAAATGTGTTTTTTGAGTCGCTGTGGATCCGGGTTGTGTTATATTCTAAGTGTGTGAAGGCAGCGGCGTGAACCTGCTGACTTTAAGATCAGATCAGTGCTCGATGTTCATGTTCTCTACCTCTGATATGAAGAAACTGGAATCCCAGATCACATTTTCAGACAGCGCAATCATCCGTCCCAGATCACATTTTCAGACAGCGCAATCATCCGTCACTCCAGTGATAATCTGTGCTCACTATTGCTTCTGTCCTCACCCCAGTCCAGCATGAACAGGCCGCATGTGCTGTTTGACCAAAGACATAATAATAATAATCAGCTTACACATATCTACAGTTATTCATTATGCAGATGCTTTTGTCTAAAATGACAAAATATAAACACATATGGAGCCCACAAGTAGTGCAGCAATACTATATTTCAAGAGCAGGCAAGAATAAAACAAAATTACGAGTTTTTAATTAAATGCTAAATTAAATCATTTCTTTGCAGTTAAAATATGTCCCACTGTTGTTTTCATTTTTCTTTGTCAGTCAGCTTGATGCAAATTAATGCATCTTGCAAGGTTTTTGTTAATTGTTATTCATTTCCATTGTCTGTTGATTTTGCATAATCATTCCCAATTATGGCGTTTCTGTCCATGGCACCAAGAGCTTGTAACACTCCAAAGAGAAAGGAAAAATTTAAATCGCATCATATGACCCCTTTAATAGAGAGATGCTCTCCATCAGTCACTGCCACACCCACACAGCAAAACGGCTCAATGGCATCATCTACTGGCTACTCTAAACATTCACAACTCAACAGTATTCATTAGTGGTGATTCAAAGGAAAACATCACTATTGCTTATGCTTAAGGTTAATCATTTGAACAAACCTCTAAATGTAAGTACTACAATTCAACATCAAACTCGTACAGACATGAATGATTATTAATGTTACTTAACATCATATTTAAAGGAACAGCGCGACCAGTAAATAAAATTTGCTGATAATGTCCTCACCCTCAGGACTTCCAAGATGTAGATGAGTTTGTTTCTTCATCAGATTTGGAGAAATGTAGCATTGCATCACTTGCTCTGCAGTGAATGGGTGCCGTCAGAATGAGAGTCCAAACAGCTGATAAAAACATCACAATAATCCACAAGTAATCCACACCACTCCAGTCCATCAGTTAACATCTGGAGAAGACAAAAGCTGTGTAAGAAACAAATCCATCAAGACGTTTTTAACTGTAAAACATTGTTTCCTTAATAACGCTTCCTCCAGTGAAAAAGCAGTCTGGTCTGAATCAGGAGAGAAATCTGCACAGGAAAATCTGGAGAAGAGAAACGCTGCATTTTTGTAAGGAACAAATTCATAATTTAATGTCCTCTATCCATAATATTGCTTCCTCCAGTGAAAAAGCAGTCTGGTCTGAATCAGGAGAGAAATCTGCACAGGTCAAGCGCTGTTTACAAGCCAAAACAGCTCTAAACAAATATGTGGCTGGATTTTGATGTGTGAGAACAACAGGGCATGGACTTTTTCACTGGAGGAAGCATTATTATGGACTCATGTTTTAACTGGAAGCAATGGTTTAAAGCTGAAACGTCTTAAATGACGGAATTGTTTCTTACAAACACGCAGCTTTTCGTTTCACAAGAGGTTACATGATGGACTGTAGTTGTGTGGATTGCTTATGGATTTAAATTTTTTATGTGAACTATTCCTTTCAGATTTGCACCCATGGATGATACAGCTTGCTAAAAAAAAAAAAAATCCAGAACACCTTCAGAAAATAGGAAAATCTTGTTTTGTAAAATGCAACTAATCACAAGATGTAGCTGCATTTCCAGACTGATCTGAAATCAGTTTTATGGTTTATTTGAAGCAGATTTGGCACTGATCAGGGGCCTAAAAGTTGGATTATGTCATGATATCATTCCAGATTTCAGATTTCCCCATTCTCCCATTTATCTATCACAGACCATTACTCACTCATGATTGATTATTGGGGTTGATCTTCTATGAGCAAGAGAATCCCGTCTAGAACGCTTTCCGTTACGACTCCTGATGCCTTTAACCTGACAATGACAAATGATCCCTGTGGCACGGTTACAGGACCAAACTACTGCAGAATGTCATGATTCGTTCGGCTTGAACAGCGTGGAGGAAAAGCAGCAGCATCATTTATCATATTCACCAGCAGAACACTTTAGAAACTCAAACACGAGAGCTTAAATTAGCCGTTAGGCTTTGACAAGGTGGTTCTCTCTCTCTCTTAAAGAAGATGACAGAATAGTGGATCTGATAGACCTACATGAGTATGTGTGTGTGTGTGTGTGTGCATAAAGATAGACCTTTTGTCAGGTTAGACGCCATATTGAATTAACAGATTAAAATGAATCTGTAAGGGAGGCAAAGGCACACTATATAAAATTCCTATGTCACGTAATTTTACAGTTTTTCAAAAACTTACAATTTTCAAAACTTTATGGACTCTTTTAATAGTTTTATTAACTTTTTTTATTTTTTGTTTACTTATTTTGTTCCTCATATTTTTGTTTGTTGGTCTAATGTGAGGAATTTTCCACAAATGTGAGAAATTGTGAGGGGGAAAAAAAACATTTGAGGGAAAAAAATGGTAAAGGCCTAGACACGATTTGATTTAATAAGTCTTTATAATAATAACAATAATAATAATAACTACAAAACGACTGATGATCAAATTTAGCACTCTTAGAGAAATATGATATTTTTTAATAATCATTTAAATTTGACTAATTTTCAAATAGTTTGTCATAAAAAAACATCTCAGAAAAATGTTAAGGGGTTTCAAATCGAAATATGACTTTTTGTTATGAAACAGGGAATATTTTTCATACATGTCTTCTGTAGAGGACACCAGGACAAATGGCATGTTAATCAGGCATTTTGGGGAAACACAAGAAATTATAGATCAATAATATTCCTATGAAATATGAGATATTCTTATGAAAATGTTGCCAAGTTATTACTCCCATTATAACACTTCTTTTTTTCCATTATGGTTTGCCCCAAGAACACATTAATATGCAAATTAGATGCAATGTATAGATACATTGTATAGAATGGGAATACCAGTTTATGGATATTTTACACACATATTCCATAAAGTAAAATAGTATATCAAATCATTGTTTTATCTTTCATCACAAAGAATCATCTTTGTACAAAGTTTGGTCAAACTCAATCAATTTCAGATTATTTAGCATATGCTAATTAGAAGTGTGATTGTTTGTGGGTTTTCAAAATAAATAAAAAATTATTGGAATGTAAATCATGTAAAATGTTAGGATAGAATGAAAAAATGATACACTTGCTATTGAAATTACTTTTATAATGTATATAAATGCAAATGCTGCTGTAAATAAATGTTTATTGCAAATGCAAATGTTGCAATTGATACTAATGATACTTTTATATATGGTAGGCGTAGGCTACTAAATTATCACCATATTAATAACTTATATCATATTATTTGCATGGTATGGCGTTATTACTAAATAAATAAATAATAAAAAATCATGCCAACAAAGAATCATCTTTGTACAAAGTTTGGTTAAAAATGGCCTGAAATTTAAAAACTGATTGGTGAATGAAAAAAATAAAACTTTTTTTTTTTTTTGCCTACACATGCCTTTTCATGTCTTTTTTCTGTCAAAACTGTTTTTTCTCCATTTGTTTCTTATGCTACAACCAATTTAATGACATAAAAAACCAACAAAATTCACAAAACTTTTTTATGGTTCTCAGGAGGATATAACGTTAAATAAAAAAATCGCCTCGTTTAGGCTACTTACGTGTTAAATATGAGTGACTGACGGCACAAATGTCTTACAGTTCAAAACTGTCGTTTATTATAGTTTGTCTTTACCATTTATTCATAAATATAGCGATGTGTGAATTAATCGGTCCAATCAACTCAATTAAATAAACGAAAGCAGTAGCTCTGCCGTCACGCGCCGATTCGCGCCACTTTAACATTCAAACATAAATAACAAATATAACGAATTAACCGTAACCGCGGTCTGCTGATGAGCTGCTCAGTCGAGATGAGTGTAAATAACTCAAGTGGTCCGATAAAAACACGATTTTCGAGCCTTAAAGATGTCCTAAAAGTAAGACGGCCAATGTACATTGAAGGGAACGATAATGAAGAGAAAAAGGAAGTTCAAACTTACCGATGGGTGGTTCATCCCCGGAGTCGCGGCAGGTAACTTAACTAGTCTCTCTCAAGTAAACTAGTATCGTGACATTGTTCATTAAACTTCTTAATCAAACTCAATCAATTTCAGATTATTTAGCATATGCTAATTAGAAGTGTGATTGTTTGAGGGTTTTCAAAATAAATAAAAAATTATTGGAATGTAAATCATGTAAAATGTTAGGATAGAATGAAAAAATGATACACTTGCTATTGAAATTACTTTTATAATGTATATAAATGCAAATGCTGCTGTAAATAAATGTTTATTGCAAATGCAAATGTTGCAATTGATACTAATGATACTTTTATATATGGTAGGGGTAGGCTACTAAATTATCACCATATTAATAACTTATATCATATTATTTGCATGGTATGGCATTATTACTAAATAAATAAATAATAAAAAATCATGCCCTCTATTTTTATTTCTATGTTATTAACACTGAACATGCATGACATAATGCTACACTGAACAAATATTTGTATAATATCGTATTAAAGTTATCATTTAAATACATTTGACATTTGTATGTTTAATAAACGTTATTCAATTGGAATGTAAATAATGTAAAATGCTACGATTGAATGAAAAATGTTACACTTGCAAATGAAATTACGTTTATGATGTATATAGATGCTGTTTTAAATGTTTATAAATGCTGACCACATGTTGCAATTGCTCCTAATGATACTTTTATATTTGGTAGGCTACTAAATGATCACCATATTCATATACTAAGTAATTTGCATGGTATGGCATTATCACTAAATAAATAACGAAGTAAATAAATACCATGTTGAGCATGCATGTCATTGTTTCATTAATGCCATCACATTGATCCTTAAAAATGTGTTTGCTTTTTTCTGTCTTACAGGCATTACTATCTTATGTTTATGGTGATCTTAACATTCGTGAACCTTATAACAATTCCTCTAGACATGGCATTTTCTGAGGATATGCAAGATAGTGGCCACATATACTGGGTGACCTTCAATATATTCTCAGACACCATGTTTTGCCTTGATGTTGCCATAAATTTTCAAATGGGTATTTTCAGTGACGACGGTCAGGTAGGAATGTGTCCTCGTTGCCTCTATATTATTGTTGGCTATTAAAATTAATACACTGCAGACCTGTTTCTGTCTAGGCCATCCTGGATCCAAAAATAATAAGAAAGGAGTATTTCAGAAGTTGGTTTGGTCCGGATGTGGTTGCTGCCTTTCCGGTTGACATTATCATTGTTATTGTGGTAATTTTATTCATGAAGTTAATGTCGCTCACACTGATCAAATTGTAGAGATAGGCCTACTTAATTAACTTCTCACAGTACAACCTCCAATGAAAGCACGTCTAATTTACCACAGGAGCACTTTTATCACGCTGACACTGATGTACTGATGGCTTCAAAGCTGGTGCGGATACTCATGTTTGCGAGGATTTTCAGTATGATCCGTTTACTCCGTGTGCCGAAGCTTCTGAGATTCTGCTTTGAATTGGAAAGTGTAAGTTGCAGTATCACATATGTGCATGCAGGAAATTATCAATGGCAGTACTGTGTTTTTCACAATGGATAGCCAGAAAACAGCTTCCCTGCCACAGTCGCCTTTGCTTGCTGGGGCGAAAAAAGAATGAAATAAAATAAATTAAGATTTTTTTTTTTAAATGCTAAATTATGACATTTCTTTATGCACCAAGAGCTTGTAACACTCCAAAGAGAAAGGAAAAATTGAAATCGCATCATATGACCGCTTTAAGATATTATTAGAGTGATGTACAATGCAAAGTGCTATATAAATCAACTGAATAAAAATAGGTTTGAATAAAGAACAAGAACAGCCTAAAATAGTTTATTTTTATTTATTAGGTGAAAGGATTCTTGACCACTCTAACTGACAATCTCATAGTTCAATACAGTAGATATCATTTTTTGTGGTATTGTCTCGCATTTTTCCAATAAACCAACAAGCAACAGGTTGTATTTTGTACACCCTTACAGTTCTAATGAGACTTTAAGTTCTGACATTGTCTATGTTATCGGTCATTCTAGGTCACTGACATACAGCTTGAAGAAGTCAAGAGGTTTTTCAGGGTGTTTTTCGTGTTCCTGTTGAAGATCCTCATTTGGCACTGGAACACATGTGTTCAGTACTTCATATCTCTGCTGGACGAATTTCCCCAAGACTGCTGGGTCATGCAAGAGAATATCAAGGTATGTCTCGAATTGTATTGTTCGTATGCAGGCATTTATTGATGTGATGCTTACCATTCGTTATGTTTTGCAGAATGCCTCAATTGGGGAAAAATACTCCTATTCTTCCTTCAGAGCTTTCTCTCAGTTGGCCTGGATTTCAACTAATTCAATTCAATCGCCAACACGTATGTCACACAACATTCTTTCAACACTGAGCAATTTTGAGAAAAGATCATTTAATTTTTGGTGCAGAAGAAGAACTCCTGAAAACACTTTAATTGTGGAATTTTACTATCAGGATTAGGGATGAAAATAGCAACAAATGCACTGGTACCTTTGCGGAATCAGGTTTTGCATGAGCGTTTAAATGGAGTTCAAGTGATTCCCTTTTGTTTTTTAGGCATGGCGGAACGGTGGACAGCTGTTGTTAGCATGGTGGTTGGATATTTAATGTGTTTCGCTCTTATTGCCTGCTTGATTACAACTGTGGGGAGCATGTCTGCGACTGGCAATGAATACAAGAAAAAGGTGCTCTTAAGTGATTTTGTAAGAGTTTAAAACTAAAGCAGATATTTATTCAACAAAATAAATACATGAATTAAAAGCATGACATATGAATATTACAGATCAGCCAGCTACAATCCTCCAAAATGTTCAAAAAGCTGCCCAGGGCGTTGCGCCAACGCACCACTGCCCAGTACAAGTGGCAGTATGATAAGAAGAATATCCTTGACCTGGTGTCAAAACGGCTGAGAAAGGTTTCTAATTCATTCATATGTGCATAGAAATAAGCAACGGTCTGTACCTCAGGGTCACGCTCACTGGTTTACTCAAAAAACAAAAGAATCTGTTTTTATATAGAAATCATTTTAATAGTGTTCTGTTTTCTCTTTCAAAGGATATTATGGCAGATATGTGTCCCAACCTGCTGAGCAAAGGCTCCATGTTCATAAAGCATGATAGAGAATTCACCGAAGCCATCTTGGTGAAGTTGGAGTACGAGTTATTCAACACAGGAGACATCATCATTCATCAAAACGCTCAAGCTGACCACATGTTCTTCATCGAGCACGGCCAGGTGCTCGTGAAGAACGAATCCTTTCAAATGGAGCTGCACGATGGAGAACATTTTGGAGGTGATGCATGAGAAACCTGCTGGAGTATGATTCAGTGAGAAGTCAAGGCGGGTCCACATTTCAGTTCTGGCCTTGAAAGAGAACGTAAAGTGACCATTTGATGTGCCATTTAGCCATGGTTCTATCTGAAAGATATTAGAACAACATTAGACTGGTGCATGAAAAAAACAAAATAATTCATATAATGGTGATGATAATCAGAAATTCAGTAAACACTTACAATCAAAACCGTTCTTCTTTCTTTCTTTCAAACCTGACAAATTTCAGCAAATCTAAGCTGCGTCCAAAAAGAACAAGTAATTATTTTGTGACCATTAAAAAGTACATTCGATATAGTAGTGTGTGTTATTTTGTGACCATTAAAAAGTACATTCGATATAGTAGTGTGTGTTATTATGAATGATATCTGGACATGTTGTAAAGTGTCCATCGGAAAGCGTGTCACTTGCTCTCAGGAAGTAGCAGGTCATTCGGATACATTTCACCTGCTGTTTTCTGAATAGCTACTATCATTTCAGACATATTACTCTTTTCACATACTGTATAGAAGGGAAGTAGGTATATTCGGACCCAGGGCCAGTGATTAGTTCAAAGATGATCTTATTTATTATTGAGAGATATCAAGGTCCACGGCTCTACCAAATGTGACCCTGGAGCACACAAGCAGTCTTAAGTCGCTGGGGTATATTTGTAGCAATAGCCATAAATACATTGTATGGGTCAAAATGATAAATTTTTCTTTTATGCCAAAAATCATTAAGATATTAAGTAAAGATCATGTTCCATGAAGCAAAACTTAATTTTTGATTAGTAATATGCATTGCTAAGAACTTCATTTGGACAACTTTAAAGGCGATTTTCTCAATAACCCTCAGATTCCAGATTTTCAAATAGTTGCATCTCGGCCAAATATTGTCCTATCCTAACATACATCCATACATCAATGGAAAGCTTGTTTATTCAGCTTTCAGATGACGTACAAATCTCAATTTCAAAAAATTGACTGGTTTTGTGGTCCAGGGTCACAAATGGTTCTCAGTGAGATGATCTTTGCTGCGAAACTCCCACGTGTTTCAAACGGGAGTAACCAGCCTCATAATCACCATTTTAAGACATTGTGTGTTTCTGCAGAGATCAGCTTCCTGTTCGGCGGAAGGCAGTTGGCCACAGTTTCTGCTCTGACCGCCTGCAGCCTTTTCTCCCTGTCGTTACAACAGTTCCAGGAGATTGAGGAAGAGTTTCCACATGTTGCGAACGAACTGAGGGCAGCAGCTCAACAGCTTAAAAATGATCTTGAGGGTAAGTCTGACATTATGAGTTGCTTTCATATAGATAGAGGACAGAATCAACATGAAATGCTGTTCACAATTTTACTTCTGTAATGTTACATATGGTCAAGAGAAACTGAATTTTAATAATACTAATGGGTTTAATAATTTACTAATGAAGACTAGAAAGAAAGACTAATGATTAAGTATATACGGTACATTTTGATTGCATAATAATTTTAAGACTTTTGTTTATTAAAAGGTGTTGAGCTAGAACTTCAAGTTACATCAGCATCAACCAGTGTGTGAGACGACAGACCAGGATCTAGTTTTTTAGTCAAATAGTCATCTATTGAATAAGATTTTTTTTTTAAAGAATTAAAAACAATTTTAACTGGGTTTTTATATTTTTACATAGTTTCAATGCTTAAGGTGATGTAATTATATGATTTTATTTATATCATATTTATTTGAATGATTATTAATATACTTGACAATACATATAGCAATACAATAAAGTATATGTATTACGTTACATGTTCTCATTCATTCACAATAAATTATCAGTGCACTTTTGTGTTTAATCTCTTTATTAGCAAGGTCTCTGGTAAACGTTTTTGTTTCCTCCAGGGGGTGCAGTTCATATACATAAATCTCCTTTAGAACCTCATTCTAATCTCAACACGGTTTTTTTGTACACTATAATTTATAATCTTTTCAGCATATTCATTACAAAAGACAGAAATCAGCCCCAACAATCTGTAAAGTAGTTTAAATATGCCGTATTCAGGACTCTGGGTCTGTGATTAGTTCATTCTGACCAGTGTAGAGTAAAGCAGCAGGTGCCACGTGACAACACAATGCAATTATTAAACCGTACTGGAAATTGTCAGTAGGGCTGCACAATTAATCAAATTTCTAATCGCGATTACAATTATGGATGCCACAATTACGTAATCGTTCAAAGCGGCAATTAATCATTCAAAGTCCACTTATGTTATTCTGCATGCTTAAAATGCGTTTTTTTCTTTCTACATGTTATCTTAAGGGTTTTTCCCATTATTTTAATTTTAGTTTTAGTATAACATTATAATACCATTCATATTTTTACTTTATAATTTAAAGAAGAAACCAATCTGATGCATAGTTGACATTTGAGGCTTAATACTATAGAAAAGCACTAAGAGTTTTTCCAGTTAAGAGTGTTTTCAGTTGTTTATTTTCATATAAAAATACGGCACGCAGTTGCATCAAACAATAGTATAAACATCATTCAATGTAAATTGTGATAATCGTAATTAACAATCGCAATTACAATTTCAAGGGAATAATAGACAATTATGATTTTTGTCATAATCGTGCAACCCTACAATAAATAGTAAATGTAAAAATATCTGTCATATTGGTCAATCACTAGTAAAAGAAAGAAAGAAACAAAAAGATACTGTGCAGTACTGTGTACTCCCTACTATTTAAAAAAGGAAGTTCAACAACAATATGCACCAATACATGTTTCAAACATTATGCAACATTTTAACTCAGGGTTATACTTGATATATTATATTGCCATGAAATAACTCGTATTGAGCAACAAGCAGTAACTGATAAAAATTTTAAGCATAGTCAAGAAGGTATAAATAATGGAAGGCTTTGCTTCTAGTTTGTTCATAAAATAAAATATAAAAAAAGAAAAATACAACAAAATAAAATGTTGTTGTTTGTTATAAGATTTTTAACTTTATAATAATATTATATGAATGAATATTATAAAATATGAAATTAATATTATAAAAATATAATATTATAAAATATGTAATAGTTTAAAATGCAAGTTCCATAAAAA